CATACTAAGTATCCTTATGGGAACCGAAGAACTGATCCAAAAGTCGGGTCGGGTCGGTTCTGGTCAGGCTGGTTCCATGGAAGAACCAAACTGGAACCAACTCGGTTCTCTTTGCTTAGAACTGAGGAACCGAGTATAGATTCGTAGTGTCATTGCAATTGAATGCATTGACTGTGCAAGAGTAATTGTGAATGGAGAAACGAGTAAAGTTGTTTTTTTGACTGTTGGTTTATTTATTTCTTCTAAAGAAATCGATATATTTTATAACTCATATCTATCTATAAAAAAAGAAAGGTTCGAAATGGGTGGAAAAGGAAGTGTAAAGACAAGAGAAAAGGGACGGAGTCGGCAGGAACAAAGGAGAAAAGAGAGAAAGCCCAAAAATTTTATGCGTATTGAGTTCAAAAGCATCAACTTTTTTATGGTTTCCTCCGACAAACGATTGTGGGTGTACGGTAGCACATGTCGAGCTGCCGAGAAAGAATGCTCAGAAGGAGTCGATGTTGCTGGCACCGCCAAGTACTGCACAGCCATGTTGCTTAAGTTCGGCCATTTCTGTGACTGGGACTCCTAGAAGATAAGCTCTGTGTACTTGCCTGCTTCCACCATTGGCATCATCGGTTGTTCGCTAATGTATTCCTCTAATTCGTCTTGGCTTCGGTCGATCCAGTACAACGCATACATCTACTATAGCTGCTCGCTCACCTCGATATCGACATCCGCGCGATCCTTGAACGTCGACCAGGTATCCCAGACAATTTGCTGGCTATACTCCTGCTATTCCCTTTCCCAGCCGCTTTTAGCCCACCAAACAAACTTTGGGCTAGGATCTATCGCAGTCGCGCACGCATAAACGTTAGACGTGTCAGTCTTGCCGTAGTACTTTCGTAGCTTAACAAGACCGACTTCCGCTGCTTCGCATAGGTCGATAGGTGTGGATGGGCTGGTCTTATAGTCCTCAAGCCTGTCCATCAGATGGTTGTAGCAAAGGATCGTGAGGTTGATGGTGGCATGAGACTTGCTGGCAGACAACCTCTTGGTCACTTTTTCGAACGGTTCAAGTAGAGCACAGATTTGCTTCCGGCACTCCCATTCTTGTGCAGTCAACCTATAGTGTGCCAGCGCCTCAGTGCACATTGCGTTGTAGCCAGCCTCAACCGCGATAGCTGGCATGATCATTTCAAACGTCGAATTCCAACGAGTACAGACATCAAGAATGAGCCTGAGTTTGGGACAGCCTTCATTGTTCAAGGTATGCACGAACTTCTGTAAGCGTTGCGGTGACGATCTAAGATAATAGTTCAAAACCTATTAATCACTTGAAAAATAGTTCAATGCATATTCAACTGATCACTACCTTATCTTAGTAACACCGCTTCGTAATTTGACCAGCACATTAGAGTTGGTTGGCACTTGTTCTTCGTCGTCGTCAACGATTTCTTCTTCTGGTGCCTGTGCTGAAAGACCTACTCGCAGAATATCCTGAACTACTAAGTTAAGGACATGTCCAACGCAAGGGATATGATGGATGTCTTTTCGCAATGGCCTTTGGTTTTGTAAGTTGTTGGTGAGCACATAGTTTTTGATAAGTATCTTAGCAAAGCAGCATAACCTCAGTAACGTACCAATCTTTCTCTTTCGCGCGCCGTTCGATGACGGTCATCATCTTGGTTATATTCGATGCGTTGTCACTTGTGATTGTGAAAAGTCTTGAACAAAGATCGAACTCATCCAAGACTTTTAGGAAGGCGTCAGCAAGGTTCTCTCCAGTATGTGGACCTTCCAAAGGCTGAAACCCTAGGCGAACTTCTTACAGAGTCCACGTCGATCTGCACATCCAGTGTATGGTCACACTCAGAAATTCTTGCCGGAATGGGCTGGTCCAGCTGTCAACGGTGCAAGAAATTTTTGGAATGCTCTTGAGTAAGGCAGCAGTTTCTTCTTTGGCTTTGACGTATTCTTCGTCCAGCTATTTCAGTGAAAGTTAAGTACATGTCTTATGTCTGAATCTTTGTTCAGCAAAACACGAAACGAAGTTTACCTTTCTCGACATACTGTCAGCATTCAAAAGCTTGACAGATTCTTGTGTAGGTGCTGATTGCGCCATGTAGAACAACTCCTGCAATTCTTCGCTTTCGGCCAAAGTAAACGGGAGCTTGTTCTTGACCACGAATTTGACGAATTGTCGTTGGAAGGCGCCCTTTTCAAACGTACGCTTACGCTTAAATTCGACATACTGGCTCATTGGGCAGGCTTGGCGCTTGTTCCCCTGAACGTATGGACCAGTTGTTTGCGTGATTTGATGGACATTCTTCAGGCGCTTCACAAGCCCAGACGTATTACCTTGCTTTGCGTCGTACACCTTATTGCAACTAGGCCGCCGACACTTGATTTTCGGTTGACCATTGATAGAGACACACTTGCCGTATTCATGAGTGAGAATCTAGCTGCTTACTGTCGGCTTCTCTTTACCGCTGGTGTCAATGTTCGCGTCGTCGCTGGCAAGCTGTGTGATTTCTTGGTGGTCGATCATAGAAGCAGAATCATCGAAGCACTCTTCATCAGTGTCTATTACATGCGAACTGACTGCACGTTGGATTGATCACGAGCTAGGGAAGGAGGAACAAAACTTTATAACGAACGACTTACGTTGGATAAGGACGAATTACGGCCAGACTCTCTCTATAAAATGGTACTATCATCAGCTGGTTGGAGGTGATATTGCATACAATGGAGTATCCTAGATTAATCTTACGCGATCAGAAAGAGCACCACAGGTGTCGTCAGAGCTCGAGCCAACTGAGTAGTTTGGCTAGGTCATTGCGTTAGATGTGATATAAAAAGGTACAGATATAGAGTAGAATGGTTCAAGCTATATATAAGTAAATAAATGAGTTATTTTGCTCAAAAATAAATATATTGCTTTTATACTTTTCATGACGCGTTTAGGATCTTGATACCAAAAGGCAGCTTCTCTTCAAATAGTGATAAGTAATACCTCGCCTGTCATTTCGTAAAAGGAAGTTTTTAGAAGTCAGCAGCATGCTGAGCTGTACCACTGCTGAGTGCGCGATTTTTGCTTTCAGTGTTCTTCCTTTTAATCGTTCGTCGTGTCCATTCGTTATTAGTAGTATAAGTACAATTAGCACTGCTGAGCACGCAGCATTTAATGCTGCGAACCAAACCAAAGGCACATCAAAATTCTCTTCTCAGCATTTTATACGCACGTCATTATGTAATTGATCCAGCAATCTTTTTTCCGGCAATCCCTGAAATCCCCCCACCAGATCAGTGGTTAGAACACATTTTAATACTTAAAGTCAACAATCAACCATGCACGATCATACTGTATATCCACAAGAAATAAAACACATTTTTCTTTCACAAATTTTGCTATGCAATACAATAATTACGTCTTCACTTCAATTCACACAATCATCATTATAATCTTGTGTAATTCCATCCCTTTTGAAATTGCTGTTGAAGAACTCGGTTCTAATCTCGGTTCTTGGGTCGGTTCTCAGGTCGGGTCGTGTCGGTTTTGATGTATAGTGTACTTGGGACGGTTCTAGCAGAGAACTGTCCCGGCCTAGCCTGTGAGGACCCTTAGTTCGTACTTTATACTTTTTGAAGCTGCTGTCGCTGCCAGATGTTATATATAGCTAGAAGAGCGTAAGTTTCCCTTTTTTCATTTTATCTACTATATACCATTTATCTATAACCCTGACTAGCTACAATCTACCACCCATCTCATCGTGCCACATATACACTACGAACTTATTTATGCCTTGCTTAGGCTTCCTAACGTGATGAAATGGAGTGCTACTATTACAGCTGACTCATATAGATGATAAGGATCAAGGCCTTATAGGTATATGTATCTTTGTTAGTACTCTTTTCCTATGACATATGACGATCTTTGATTGTCTCTGCACCATTGGTATATATCAAACTGCTCCTTTCGCAGCCAGTCTTTAACTCCTTCATCCTATGAATTATGCATTCTGGATTCTTCACTAATAATCTTCATTGTGTCTTTTAGATATGTTATCTCCGAAATCATCTATGAACATCTCCTTCTGCGCTGTTTTTTCTTTCACTTATAACTTGACTCAACACACATTTTTCTGTAGCAGGACTGCCATCCTTTGCACTATCTCTTTTCGACTACAGCCTTCCTTTTAAAATCATCAAATAACATAGACTTACATTTGACGACGTTCGTTTAATGTTCTATAAGCATAATCTTGTATTGCTTTTTATACAAAATATAATAAAAACGGTTGTAGACACCTATAACAATATATATATTACACATGACCATGAATATGAAAACCAATAGCATGCTTTGTCTGTTTACTCCATGTGTAATAAAAGAATGAAATTATGCAATGCATAATCCTTCTTTTTACGAACCTACTACAGAAGGCACCCAGTCTATATGCAATGTATAGTAAGACCGTTATAGACATCTACATAGATGATGTAATCAAATTATGAGCTTGGGGGACTACATGCACATAAAAATATCAAGGTATAAAGTCGCCTGCGGCGACCCTTGGCAAGGCGTTCTATACTTGATACTCCGTTGTGTGTAATTAAACTCAGTATCACTCTCTTAATCATCAACGTCACGTGCCTCGCTTCGCTCGGCTGAATGAGCACCCACACTGTGCTCCGCGTCATTCAAAGATTGGGCTCCCGTAGACCCGTGAGGTGGGGCAAGCCCCTATAGATTTCAAGTGTGGGAGGCTGGATCAGTATTTTCATATACAAAGATGAATCAGAGTTTTGTTGTCTTATCCAGCACAAGATTAATATGAAGTATCCACACCTGATACTCAATATTAGAGCTGTATCAATAGAATTATTTATATATTCTTAATTGTAAATGTTATTACAAATACAAAGAGGAATGGTGCGATGCTGAAGCTGTGATATTAATATTATCAGCAGTGGTAGCATGGTCAATTTCAAGGGCCATACTTTTATTTCCATTTTCAGAAGCATGACAGACAGACGGTCAAGGAAACACTAAAGGTGATTTCATAATCCGTATAGAACGTCTAAAAAATACAATGCAAGAAATATGTTTATTACTCTTTCGCCAAGGCGTAAATACAGCAGTAGATGTGTGGATGTTAATACAGTGGTGTATGTGTTTGCAGTAAATGTCGTAGCAGGGAAATTAGTAAAATATGTGTCAATGGATATGCCGGACCGTGTTGTAGATATTTCTGGGGCAAGGGCGGGTAGTAGTCGATGAGTAGCCAAGAACTGTAGGAGTCGTGAAGTGCGAGCATCCTCTGGGGAGTTGAGATTTATGTTAAAATCTCCAGCGAGTATATGTGCAGTGTTTTGATGGTTTACAAGTATTTCGTCCAACGCAGCAATCAAGGTGTCAATAGGAGCTTGAGGCGAGGCATAGATGCTCGATACCATCAAGGGCCCACTATATACGATGATTGACATACTGATACGTGCATTTGGCGAGTAGCTATATGCACGTTGAACTTACAGAACCATGCTACTGCGAATATATATTGCGGTACCAAAGGCTCGTTGGCTTAGAGACTCTACGGTACTACTGTCTTGTCGAGTTACCAAAGTAAAGCCGTCGATAGCCAGCTCTTCGTCAGTACCGCTAGGTGAAGTCCATGTTTCTGCAAAGAGCAAGAAATCAGACACCAAATACACTTTATCATTTTTGACAAGATCTAAATGTTTTCGTAAGTTTTGTACGTTGTGAAATGTGAACTAATGACAGTTTCTGCGATCATTGTGAAGAAACTTGAAATGCGGTATCAATTTCATTGTTTCTTGTCTCTGTAGTTCTGCTACCAATCCTTCCCTAGGTCTTGATGGTAGATCCCAAAATGTCCCAATAAGAAATTATCTAGCAGCTCTTCTTGCTCTCGAGCATGCTACATAAAGCAAATAGCAATTGAGTGTACATCTGGGTAGTATAATTACTACGGTATCGTACATCTGACCTTGTGATTTGTGGATAGTTATTGCCTATACTGGCGATATACTGATAATTTTAGTTTTTTTAAATTATTATAGGTAGTACCAACTTTATTGGTAGTAAGAATTTTATAGTTTGTAATAATATTTTAAAATTAATCTTGAAAAATATATTTATGTTAAAAACAAATTATTTATATTTATTATTATTATTAAATAAATAACTTCTACTTTTTTTAATTTTATTTAATAAAATTATGAGAAATTTTTATAATCCTTTAAAACATAACTTTTCAATCTTTCCAACTATTTTATATTGTGGAATTAATTCCGCATCATCATCCTTTTTTCTTTTTTAAGATATAGATTTTAAATCCGCATTATTATTTAAATCTTATTTATAAAATAAATAAGACATGGATAAATTTCCACATTATAATTATATTGCGGATTAGAAAATCTGCATTATTATATTTTTAATTAAACTCAAGATTTTCAATCTTTCAAACAATTTCTTTTAAAAAAAAAAAAAGTCTAGAAGTGGAACAAATTCCGCAAAATATCGGAAGATATATGTATGTGTGTTTAATTGTTTTATTCTATTTATCATAATTATATAATCAAAATTAAAAAGTATGATTTATTTTACATTTTTATTGTTTCAAAAATAAACATGTTAATTAAGTATTTAATTATTTCCGATTATTTTTTCTATAACTTAAAAAAAAAGAAATAAAAATCTTTCTAAAATAGATAAAACGGAATTATTTTATTCCATTTCTTTTTTGGAAATTAAAGTCTTAGTATGGAAATTAACAAAATAGATTTTTAATTGTATTTATCTTCGGGAGTTGAAATATTTCCCAGATAGGAAAATAATTCTTGGCATTAGATCAAAATACGTAAAATAATTGATCATATGATCAATATTTTGGAAACGTATTTTTTATTTTACATTAATTTTTTTCTATGGCAGAATACTTGAAACTTTATAATTTGAAAAAAAAATTATAGGTTATAAAATTTATATTGCTACAGATATACCCGCACTAGCACTACTAGAAATTGACGACACAAGACACCCATAGTTGAATTGGTCCTAGGCTTGATGAGTTTTAACTCCATCTCCAAAGGTGTCCAACCTAAGATGTCGCACTGCTCTATTAAGTATCGATGCTTTTCTCACTGTTTTCTCCCTATTTGCTGGTCATCAAATTCAATCCAAATTCGAAGTGGTCTTCGGTCCCATCAGTCCCTGTGGGTAGCAAAGTCGAAACAGCACAAATACCCAGTGGCACCATTCACCAAACCATCGCTGGTGTCAAGATTGCATGTCATCATGTATCTTGCGTCAATGCATAAGAAGATATCTGTTGGTAGACCCATTGTTTCATTGTAAGCTGAATCTCTGACCCTATCCAACATTTGCTGGGGGGGTAACCTTTAGTGTTATGTTTTTAGTGAGATTATAAATACGTAAAAAATTATAAGTAATATAATTTTTAAGTAATTATAATAAATCATGAAATTAATTTTTTGTTTAAAAAAAAAATTTCTCAAACACTATAAGATTCGCAACCATTAGTGTTAGTCTTAACTATTGTGTTTTAGAAAAAACAGGCTAGGAGGTATGACGACGCCCAGTTCGATTAAAAATCAACGGAGTTAGATTTTTATCTGAACGCTTGACAGTATTAAGAGTAATAGATAAATTAGTGGCTTAACACTAATCTATCTTATTAAAATAATAAAAGTTACGTATTACACAAAAAAGGAAATATGTGTTCCTCTGCCAGATATTTTATCCTCTCTTCTGCGGAGGTGTGTATAAATTGCTTGCTACACAACACGTTTTTTCTTTTCTTTTTTTTCTTTCAGTAATTTAGCGATCTAAATTGAACATGGCAGCAACAACAACAAACAAGTATCCGCCACGCCCTACAGATGAAGAGATCTGGGCAAAAGTACTCACTACGAGTCTATACGTGAGGCCTACCCCACTGGAATCAAGTACCTCGCATTCAGCTACAAGACTCTGTATATGGAACCAAACGCGTGCATGGGTGAAATCGACGAAGCAATTGCAGAATTTCACCAGAATAAACAGCACGCTATGGAGAAAACCAAGAAATAGTTTTTTTTTTGTTATAATAAACTTTAGTTTGTCATATTTATGCCTTAAGTAAACGAGCGAAGCGAGTGAGTTCGGGTTTAGAAGGAAGTGTGGTTGGGGGGTACACCCCAACAGGAGGGCTCGCGGGGGAGAACGTCCCGCAAAAGTTTTTTTTTTTTTTTTGATCCCAACGCAGTAATAGTCAAACGTTCTTTTACTTTTAACTCTCTGACATGTCAACACCCATTTGTAACTCTTGCGGTTTGCCGGGCCACCAACGCGTAACTCATCGTGATTGCCTGAACAATCCTTCTAGATTGGCAATGCGCCAAAACAATGAGAATGATGAGCGCGATTTCGACATTGTTCGCGAAGCGCCAGAAGCTGTGCCTGTCTGTTCCAGTTGTGGGCAAGAGGGTCACTCACGAAGGTCACATCGTGATTGCCCTAATAATCCGTCAAACAACGAGAATCTCACGACACCTACTGCTGCTCCAGTTCATGTATGCTCAAGCTGTGGACAAGAGGGTCATTTGAGACGCACGCACAGAAGCTGTCCTAATAATCCTGCAAACCAGATCGAGCAAGAAAACGTTAGTTACTATTTGGATCTTCACAATGACACTGATGATTACTGATGACGCCGTTATAATTTAGCTTCATAGTATTGCCCGCGTTTCCACAAACTCCCATCCACTGCGCCATTTCATTGGTTCCATGGATACTGAATGTAGTAACTGCCATGCTCGCCTTTGGATCCAAGAGCGTGTATCTCATAGCTCTCTCCGCACGCCACGTTTCAATCTTTGCTGCCAACAAGGGTCGGTTGAGCTCCCACCCCTCAATCCAACACCTCCAGAGATTTCACAATTGCTACGTGGTACTGATGCTGCTGCTGAGGATTTTCGTACCAACATCCGAGTATACAACAGTGTTCTAAGCTTCACGTCTCTTGGTGTCAACGTTGATCAAACTGTTGCTAATTCGCGTGGTGGAGCGTACAATTTCCGAATTCATGGAAGTGTCTACCATCACATAGGTTCATTGCTACCGGCTGAAAATAATAGACCCGCCTTTGCTCAAATTTACGTGCACGATCCATCCACTGAAATTGCCAATCGACACGCCGTTTCCCCTGTACGCCTCAATGATTCCACTCTACGCCAATTACAGGCCGTAATGCATCGTATCAATCCTTTTGTCGAATCCTTCCGAGATATGAACGAAATTGCCCGCGACCAAGGGGTTGACAATGTTAGAATGCTCATCAGATCAGAGAATACTCCAGACCGTCGACGTTACAACGCACCAACTGCCAATGAAATTGGTATCCTTATCGTGGAAAACAATAACGAGGATGCTGGCCCATGCGATATTGTGTTGAGAACAAGATCCAATGAGTTGCAAAGAATTAGCGAAATGCATCGCTTCTATGATGCACTTCAATATGTTTTGCTTTTCCCTCAAGGTTCGTCCCTGCAATTATTAGCACTGTCTATTAGTATTTTGTTGTATTGAGATTACTTTAGGTGATGAAGGGTGGGCGATTAACGCAAACTCAAATAATCATGACATTACCATAATGGAGTGGTACAAATACCGCCTCATGGTTCGTGACGGTGCTGATGGTGATGCTGATGCCAACGATTTACATCGATTCGGAAAGTTATTCCAACAATTCATCGTTGATATGTATGCGAAAATGGAATCCAACCGCTTGGGATTCATACGTCTGAACCAAGATCGATTGCGCTCCGATCTTTACCGCAATGTTGTAGACGCAATGAACGTGGGTGATAATGACTTGACCAGCGTTGGAAGACGTGTTATCTTGCCGTCATCATTTATCGGCTCTCCACGCCATATGCAGCAGCTGTACCAAGATGCCATGAGCATTGTGCGTCGCTTTGGCAAACCTGACCTTTTCGTTACTTTCACCTGCAATCCGAACTGGCCAGAAATTCAAGATTCCCTTTTACCGGGACAGCGTGCCCCTGATCGCCCTGATATCACTGCACGTGTTTTTAGACTGAAATTGAAGCAGCTGATGGAAGATCTCACGAAGAACATGGTCTTGGGCGATGTCGTTGCACACGTTCACACTGTCGAGTTTCAGAAACGTGGCCTCCCACATGCGCACATATTGCTTATCCTTTCGGACGAAGACACGCCACGCACAACTGCTCACTGTGACGATATCGTTTCGGCTGAACTCCCCGATGCTGAGCGCTATCCAACTGCACGTGCGACTGTTGAGCGGCATATGATGCACGGTCCATGTGGCATGTTAAATGCTCGATCCCCGTGCATGGAAGACGGTAGATGTACAAAGCGATATCCTAAAGAGTTTCACGAGGACACGGCAATGAATGACGATGGCTATCCTGTGTACCGCCGACGTAACAATGGAGACTATGTTACGAAACCAGGAAATATCAGACTCGACAATCGCTGGGTGGTCCCTCACAACATCTACCTGTGCGCCAAATATGATGCGCATATCAATGTGGAAATTTGCACGTCTATTCATTCGATCAAATACGTCTACAAGTATGTCTATAAAGGTCATGATCGTGCATCTGCCGCAGTTGTACAACAACAAGTCAACAACGATCCTGCAAATGCAAATGGGAATGACGAACAACCGGTCGATGAAATCCGAACCTTTCTTGACGCACGCTACGTTTCTGCTTCAGAAGG